ACCAATTCAGAAAGGGATGCTTAAATCTGTGCAAGGTGAAAGGAAAAGAAAGCCAGATAGGGGACTCTCTGAGGAACCTCTTAAGAGGAACCTGGAAACCAGTTAGCCTGGTAAAGAGACCCAAACCAGGAATTGGAGCTTGAAGTCTTGGCTTCTATCCCTGACCCCAATAGTCTTGAACTTCAACGTTTTTTTGACAAATGACTTCTCCTTAGGAGAGGTCATTGTCTCGTCTTCCATTTCCTACCCTTTGAATCTCGGTGAAGTTGTACAAAACTGTTTTTCTAACACCCTTCTGGACAGTCTCCTTTCACTGATATTATACTGAGGGTACTTCTGGTACAGAAAGAAGACAGGATATGAGTAAGGGAAAGGATGAGGAACTTCAGTAAGATATACATCCTTTGATGGTTTTACAGAAATCACATTTGTCCACATCCGCAATGTTTTCACAAGCAAACGAGAGAAGAATATATTCCACACACAGCCCTCCCTTCAGAGTTATTTTTTCTCTTTAATTTAAAGAAGGTCCCAAGGACACCAACACCTGATTGTCATTTAGAGTCTGTGTCTCTTCCTGGAGCTAAGATAAATAAATAGTGCCCACTCTCCACATATGGCATCCAACCAAAATAAGCAGAATGGGTTTTCCATGTGTTACTGCCATCGTCATCATTGAATTTTTTAACATAAACTTTACAATATGTACAATTTTATTTGGATAATACACTTATGTGTGGATCGTAGAAATCAAGCATGTATATTATACACAAGTATACACGAGCATTTGTATTCACAGGATAAGTGCTTTTGATCATTTCTGCCCCCTATCAAGTGGCAAGTTGGCCTCATTGTGATTCGATTGGAAAGGAACATGTCACAATGGAAAGACAGAAAAGGGTAACCACAGGTTTAGAGACCTTCCCAGACACACACCCTGTATAACTTCCCATAAGCACTTTCAACCCTGTTTCCTTAAAGGAGGTGGGGTATCTGGAAAAGTCTAATTTTGTCTCAAATCAAAATGAGCACTAATTCTCCTTCTTCTTTTTTTTTTTTTTGTATTTTTTTCCCTTTTATATCAAACCCATAACTCATCAGATGTCAACCAATGGATTAAGCTTCCACCTACGCAGTTTTTGTTTTTAAAATTGTCTTTCTTGAAGTCAAATTAAGTCTACTATGCTGTTGTTGTTAAGTGTGATTGAATCAATTCCAACTCGTAGAGACCCTGGATAGGCTGGTGAACTTGAACCACAGACCTTGCAGTCCAGTGCTTTATCCCACAGCACCAACCCAGGACTGGTTAATACAGACAAGTTCTACTTAAAAACCCACTCATGTCTCCTGTTAAGCGATCACATACCACAGCTTTGCACAAAGAAACAGAACAGGAGCTGTGCATAAAGTCCATGGATACACTCAGTCCCTCAGGAAAGCTATTTAGGTTTCTCAAATTAGTATTTATTTAGGTCTTAAGCCACAAGGGATTCCAATGCAAGGTAGTTATTTATATGACAACTGATTATGAAAACTGCACTTTTTAGGTTTAAAGGAGATAAATTTTTAATCACCATTTAATTAACACCAACTTTCTTTTTCTTTCTTCTTTTTCATTAGTGATTCAATTTGCAAAGAATTCAGGGCATTTGTCATTTCCTGAGAAGATGCAGGGTAGTAAGCACACATCAGTGGCAGACAGATCAGGTGAACAATGTGTGGTCACATGACTACCATGGATCATTTGACTAAGTAACTGTCTTGACTAGAGTCCCATTTAAGTGAAACGATTTCATCTGTAAACAAGGTGCAATTTTCTCTTCTCTTTTTTTTTCCTCCCCAGAAAACAAACATGAATTGATTTGATTGGTTTTGCTGCCATGATGGAATTTTAATGGTTTCATCAGAAACGTGAAGGATTAAGACTTTACTTCTTGATACTTTGGAAGAGGGAAGGGGCATCCAAGGATGACCCATGGGCCATCCACCTGTGCTGGTGGTGAAAGGATGCCGTGAGATTTACAAGAGGAAAGATTAGAGCTAAATGATGAGATTATAATCCTGATGTCCCCCACATTTAGGGAGTCCCCTTGGCAGGAAAAAAAAACCTACTAGAAACTTGCTTTTTTTTAGTCTTAAAATCAGAGTGGTCTGAGAACATACAGGTGAAATGATGATGAAACTACTTCCCAGGAATCTAAAAGATTCCCAGAGTCCCTGGGCATGCTGAGCTGATAACTTAAAGGTTGAAGGCTCAAGTTCAACAATGGGCACCTTGGGAGAAAGTCTTGGTGACCTATTTCAAAAAAAAGAAAGGGAAGAAAAGAAAGAGAGAGAGAGAAA